GATGTTAACTGATGGACTGGAGTGCTGTGGATTATTGTGATGTTTTTATCAGCTGTTTGGACTCTCATTCTGACGGCACCCATTCACTGCAGAGCATCCATTGCTGAGACACTGATGCAATGCTACATTTCTACAAACCTGATGAAGAAACAAAATCATCCTGATCTCAGATGAACTGAGAGTGAACACATTTACAGCTAATATTCATTTTTGGGTGAACTACTCCTTTAATGTGTATTTTAAAGATTGTGATGACATCTGAACTCACGTGTTCCTCGAGGCCCATCAGCTCGCTGACGTCAGGAACCCGTCTGGCTCTGAACTTCACTTTAGTTGCGATGCTGTGCACCACGTCTCTGAGGGCGTCTTCACTCAGGTCCTCCTCCATCAGATACGGACCGAAGAGCAGAGTCTTCCTCTCGCTGGACAGCACGTAAGACGCCATGATGAAGACGAGGAGGAGGATGAAGCCGCAGACTTTCGAGCACCAGATGCATGATGCAGATCTGCGCTGTGTTTCATGATCAACCTTCAACACACACATAAACAAACATCATCACATCTAACCGCAGTGTTTTCTGCCAAAATAAAAGCTTGAGGGTTTAACTATTGCAAGTGAAGAAATTAAAATATAAGTACTATAATTTTACTATAAAAATAAATGCATTTCCTTATTATGAAATATCTATTTTTCATGTACATGTGTTTACCTTCAGGTGGACCGCGCTGAACACAAACTCACTGATCATGACAGAAACAGAAACTCGGCGTCAGACCATCAGATCTTGAACAACGTCACAGGAAATGAACTGAGAAACACACAGACTCCTGTCAGTGAAATCAGGCTGTTACTCAGAAGAACAGATGAGCAAAAGAATATGACTGCATGTAATAAGGTTTAATAAATAATAAACAGATTCAATCCATCATGATATCAGAAACATATCCTGTACGAGTCCATCACTCCAGACAGAGACGCTTCACAGACACACACCGAGCGAAAGAAAAACCAGAACAAGCCGTTCTGAAGTTTAAACACACGTGATGTTCCTCCGTCACACCGACTCTGAATGGGACTGAACACACATTTAGACCACACTGAGTTCAGACCACAGAACACACACACACACTCACCACTGACACACACACACACACACACACACACACTCACACCACTGACACACACACACACTCACCACTGACACACACACACACACACACACACACACACTCACACCACTGACACACACACACACTCACCACTGACACACACACACACACAGGAATATTCTCTCCCACTATTTAAACAGCAATCAGCTGTTATTATTATGACTAACTCATAATCAGGTGATTCAGATTGCATTAACGGAATAACACTACACATGTTCAGGACACGAAATACATCACATTATGGGCTGCAAAAGCATTTCATCTTGACTCTGTAGAAGAGATCAACATTATAAATCTGTATCTCGCGGCTCTGACTGTCTGTTTACATGGAAATCCAACAGGAAATGACCAGACACTTTATCAGGAACAGGAAGTGATGCGGATCCCAGAGACACGTTGACTATCAGATCAGAGTGAAGACTTACTGAATTCTGTTCTCCACACTAGTGCAGTGAGTCTGAGCGTGTGACGGGGAACAGACACCATGAGTTATTCAATGAGGAGCTCATTCATTATTGATGAGCGTTAAACGCCTCTCATCACTGCTGATGGTTTATTCAGCAGCCGCAGTGAAGATGATGATGATGATGAAGCTCTATTAACCACTCAGATGAAACAGACTCCATTCAAACTCCATTAACAAACACAGACAGAAAGCACCGACCCAAGCGTCTGTGATGAAGCGTTTGATTCACACTGAACTCAGCACCATTCAGCTGAAGATTCACAGGATTCAGATTCACTCGCATTCACAGCTCGCAGTCGCACGGATTCAACAACAACACGATTACAGGAGCACAGATATCAGCCGGAGTTACTGAAGCGCAGAAGAGACCAAACCAGCTCTTCTGCATGCAAAGCTCGAGGATCCAGAGCATCCAAAACATGAGATCAGACGGGGCCGGGTGTTTGTCGTGTGAAATGTGGATAATCCAGGTGTCTAAAAATAAATGCATTTACACAGGAATTCATGTGAGGCTATAAAGCAACATGAAAGACTGATGAAAATGATCAGAGCCTCTGAAGTGTAAAGATGTTAAATCATGGTAAGAAGGAGTTTCATCACAGCAGGTACAGAATCAATCAGAAAAGTGCAGTAAAAGAGAAGAAGTCACGCCGTGCGTCTGTGAATCAGTATTTAACCCTGCGCTCGGCTCCAACGACCGATAAACATTTCCACACCGCCGCTGCTGGACTCAACAGACAGAGAAGCGACCGTCTCTGCATGTGTTATTAATGCAGCGTATGAACCGCAGACACAAACCATCAGACTGGCGTCCTCTAGAAAACACTCCACTGATCTGACATTTCCAGAACAGCGTTAGTCTCGAAATAAAAGTTGCTCTCTGAAGAACTGAAGCATTAAATGACAAACACACATCATGTCTGATTCCTACGGCTGCTCTGCGTCTGATCTAACCTTTGACCAGATTTATTAATGCACTACGACAATTGATCAAATTTAGCATAAGAATAACATTTTTGAAAAATTATATGTTATGTCCTCTGCAGAGGACACTTTAAAAAGTCGTTTTTTTTACATGAAAAGACATGAAAAGGCAAAAACAGTGGGATTTAAAAAAAATCACCAATCAATTAAAAAAAAAAATTTCTACCAAACTTTATATAAAGATGATTCTCAATTATGTTATGAAAGATATAACCGGATGATTTGATACCATTTTGCTTTGTGTAATGTGTAAACGGGTTTTCCCATTATATACACTGTATCTCATTTGCATATTAAAGGGGTCATATGATGCGATTTCAAGTTTTCCTTTCTCTTTGGAGTGTTACAAGCTGATTGTGCATAGATAAGATCCCTGAAGTTGCAAAGACTAAAGTCTCAAAACCAAAGAGATATTCTTTATCAAAGTTAAGACTCAGCCACACACCCCTAAAACAGCTCGTTCTAACACACCCCCACATATCTACATAGAGGAGAAACAATAATGTACAGTATGTGGAAAATAATGTGTTTTTTTTACTTTAAACCGCATAAACACATTTCATTACACCAAATACACAAAATAATGTTCTTTTTAGCAGCATCATATGACCCCTTTAATGTGTTTTTGGGGCAACGTAATGAAAAAAGAAGTGTAATAATGGCAAGATTTTCACAATAATAATATCTAATATTTCATAGGAATATTGAAACATAATTTCTTTCCCTATTCTCCCAGAATGCCTAATAAACACTTTTAGTCCTGCTGTCTTCTACGGAAGACACGAATGAAATCAATGTCCCGCTTCATCACAGAAAGTCATATTTTGATTTGAAACCCCATAATATTTTCCTGAGATGTTGATTTAAGACAAACAGTTTGAAAATGAGTCAGATTTAAATGATCATTACAAAATGTGATCATATAAGGATGTTAAATCTGATCACTAAATTAAGGCAGCGGCTATTTGCACTATGTTAAAACAGCAAGATTTGCTATTTATACTACTTATTGCAAATAGTAGCATTTATCTGCACCTCAGTATTGTAGTATACTATAAAACAGTACGCAATAATAATGTATTGAGTGTAAATTATAATTTTAATTCAAATTATTAAATGGATGCCACCTTATTGGGACAATAAAGCCCTACCCGATACTTTATATTCAACTTTTTGATTATTTCCTTAATTTTTATTGAAAACAAATGCCTTTCCGATGCGATATGAGATTTGAAAAGGGAGAAAAAAAAGTTCGGCAAAACAGAGGAGGGTTCGAACTCGGGTCGATCACGTCGGAAAGCACGCGCCTCACCATCAACGCCACTGAAACTTGACGAGCGGCTTTGTTTTTTCACTGTCGACTATCCCAATCAGACTTTGGTGGGCGAAGTTAGTGTAAATAGCCTCTGTCAACAAGGCGGCCTATTTGCACTTAGTGTAAACAGACACTCCGCTAAATTAATGTCAGTCATTTTTAAAGAGCAAGCAACCTGCTAACTGCTGTAAACACACAGAGAGGACGAAGATGAAGATAAACAGTCTTCACATTAATCCACAACATCGACGAGACCCGACAAACTCACACTGAACAGAAGGAACTAGAATAATGACTAGACACACCTGAACTGAAGACGGAGACCGAACTAACAGAACTGTGACACAGACACTGGGTCTCTCCTGAATCTGCTCTGTACAGGACTGAGAACAGACAGAAAGCACTCAAATATAAAGTCCTGGAGTCACTGAACACTGCAGCACTTCTCAGGGAAGAAGCGGCACATATGTTTGGGTTGACCATATATTCATTCAATATTTTGTGCTGAATTAAATAATCTTCTGAACCTTCAAGAAGTCAACTTTAAGATCGGATCGAACTCAGCGTCACAAATAACGGATTCATTTCTGCTGATTTACTGTGTTTCACATAAACTTCAGGCGCAGAATCAACATCAGCTCACACACCCATCCATCAATCGATCAATCGAATATCAATCGATCCATCACTCACCGTCATAATCCGATGCTGAAGAAACTTTCCTCCTCCGGAGACGATCAGCTGTGTGTGTGTGTGTGTGTGTGTGTGTGTGTGTCCCCGCTGCCGCGCGCTCATTGGTCAACTCGCAGAGGGGGCGGAGCCACAGCTCACCTGTCAATCACGACAAACTTCATATTTACATTTACACATCAATAACACAAGCAGAAATCCAGGACTGATAACATTCAACAATAACCACAGAATATGAACCATAATAAGTAATTCTATCATTTTATGTCAATAAATGTGACCTTCACACATTATTATTTACTAATCTTACCATTAACTTTATGCAAAATTATGAACATGACATGGACTGAATAGAAAAACTGATCATGTTGTACAACACAGAAGTGATTTATCAAACAAACACATTTTAGACTTATTATAATTATAACATGACTAAAATACCACTGACCTCAACAAGTGTCTCCTTCCTTATGAATGCTGATCAGTCTATTATATCTCTATCCTAACGATTATATCACGTTTGCGTCGTTTAATGTTGTGTTCTTTGTCATACTGAAGTAAAATCAGACAACATGTTGCTGTGTTTTATGTTCTGATGAAGATGTTGAGCTCTCTAGATCACTTGATAGTGAACACTAGTGAGCGCTTGACCAGCTCAAGGCCTCTCATGATCCGAGCAGCTGCACAGTTTCCATGGCGACAGCATCTGTCTGTCACCGTCACGCAGCATCAAAGCAGTTCGTCATCAGTGTGAATCTGAAGTGAATCAGCCGCGTCACACAGGAAGTGGAATTAGCACACAATGACATTTAAGCATGTCTGCACTCATTTCTATAATGCATGTGAGCTTCATTGTTTCTTTGTGTTCAGTGTCTGACCTTTATGTGATGATGTTAATGAGCCTCAATCACTGAACCATATTTGCACCAATTAGCCACGATTTACATCCAAACTTAATGAAGGTGGAATCAAAACCGTTGGACTCGTTCACCAGCTGTGAACATGATGAAATGCAGATTCGCCCTGAACTTTAATTCAAATGATTTCAGAACACAGAGAATAAACTCTGGATTCTGTATGATAAAAGAGACGGCTACAAATGTCATGTGACTGACACCAGCTGACCTTTGACCTTCAGATGACCCGCTGCACAAGCTTTCACTCGTGAACAGATGAAACCGATCACTTTTCACACTACTTTACAGTTTACGGATGTGCTGTATGTTGTGTTTCATTAGTCGTATTCTGTGTGTTCGATGTAATGAAACAGAACCTCACGATCCAGAACGTTCCAGTGCATCCGTCAGAAACATTTAGCTCAAATTACTTCCTCTAGTCAGTCACATGATTTCCTGTTCAGAGACAAACATCCTGTGGCTACAGCGAGTTCACATGGAACCAGCTACTAAACGTGTGTTTCATATAGTGTCGCATAAACCAGCCTGTTTTCCTTCATAACCATCATGATGTGGATCCTGTTTGTACTGGTGTCCCACAGGGCTCAGTCCTTGGTCCCCTGCTTTTTAGCATTTATATTTATCCTCTTGGTCAGCTATTAAGATCCCTTAACCTCAGCTACCACTTCTATGCTGATGATACTCAGATTTATATACATTCTCAACCTGGTCAATTTGTGGATGTCCCTCATCTTTCCAACTATATTTCTGAGATTAAGTTGTGGATGTCTAAACATTTTCTGTCAGAATAGCTCTAAAACTGAAGTTACGCTTCTTGGCTCTCCCCACCAACTGCGAAATGCTGCTGCTATAGATCTATCAGTTCATGGTGTTGCCCTAGAGCTACACAGTAAACTAAAAAATCTTGGTGTTATCTTTGACGCCACCCTGTCATTCGAGCCTTTTGTACAGAACACGGTAAAGACCTCCTTTTTTCATCTTAGAAATATTGCACGTATTCGGCCTATGTTGCCCTTTTCTGTTGCTGAAAAATTTATTAATTCTCAAGTGTTTACAGCGCCATCAGCTGGAGATCTCAGTGATCTTCTGGTCTCCAGATGTGGATCCGGTTCCTCCTGCAGTGTGGCATTCTGCCAGTTATTCAGAAGAAATCTGGATCAAATCTCGAAAAGGATTCTGAAAGCGGATCAGCTCGTGTAATCCAGTCTGGATCTGCATCAAACCTTTGTGGAAGGTCTGGGATTCCTTTGATCCAGAAAAACTGGATTATCCTGATCCCAGAAGAACACAGCATTTGCATCATGCGGTATATATATATATAGACATTTATATTTTGCATCTGATTTGTTTAACTGTTACACCGAACAGTTACAGTGTTACTTTTCACTGTTACAGTCTCTTCAGATAAACACATCAAAATGACCCAATGCTGTTCTAGCTGTTGTTATTTCTGTAACTAGTAGCCTGTATTTGATATGTAGTGTCATTCGGAGCAGCTGTAATCCGGATTTATTAATCTGCCGGAGTGTGAAACTGGATCAGGGCTCCTGGATAGTACATAAGGGTTTTCCAAATCTAGATCAATCTTTCTGAACAACTGGATCCCGATGTGATTTAACTCATTCCTGTCTCGCAGCACCTGTTTGTAATTTTGTTTCAGTAAAAGGCGTTCAGAAATCGGCTCTGGTTGAGATCAGACACTACAAATTCGTTCACTAAAGTGAAACAGAATAAAGAGCTAAATTTACTCATCGACACGTACACGAGGATGTCGAACCGGATCATTTTCATATTTTTAACCCTCTTTTGAATTAAACCAATGAACACAAAACATCTCAGGATTCATCAGATCCATTACTGATGTTTGTGCTGTTGATTTCCCTCCAAAATGATGTCACTTCCTGGAGGATGATGCTTTGGTTTGATGTTGAGGACACAGAAACCACTTTAAATCAATGATATATAATGAAAATGTGCTGCATAATAGGAATGAACAACCAACTAAACGTTCGTCTACAAAACACCAATTCAACTTTTCTAAAACACACCAAACTCATTAAATCAGATGTTAAACAAACACAAAGTCTCTCAGCTGACTGAAGATTTATTTAAGAACAGAAATAAAACCTCATCTGATGTGCGAGCAGACGCTCCATTCGTTAAACGTTAATTAAACGTTCTACAACACACTCCTAAACAGTCTCTCCTTTTGAAATGCTGTTTTCCCAAAGTTCTATTTCTCATTAATAATAAGCATTAATAATTATAATCATTAATAAGCGCAGCAGAATGTGGCTGTGAATAATTCAGTTTGATCAATGACTGCGATTAAAGTGCACTATTCTCTCATCACAGGGAGAAAAACTCAGTTCTAGTCAAACTTTTAAACATGTTTCAAACACTGTGACAGTGACCTTCATTCATCTTCCTCTGAAGGAAAGAAACCGTAAACGTCACAGCGTCCATGACACTTCATCAGAACTAAAACAGACCTTCATCCAGAGAGAAACTACTATTCTAGAATCTCAAGCTCAGTTGAGAATGAAAAAAACTAAACAAGCATAATTCTGAAAGCGCTAAAAATCCCCATGAGTGTCGGGCAGGCTCGGTGTTGACCTGAATGACTGTAACAGCTCATGAAAAACATAAACCAGGCTAAAATCTGAAGAATTACAGGTGAAAATCACTCAGATGATGATTCCAGTGGTTTAGAAGGACAGGATGGTCCTGCTGATGATGTCCACACACTCTCTGACCTCATCCTCCTTTATAATGAGGGGCGGGGCTAGTCTGATGATGTCACCGTGAGTGGGCTTTGCCAACAGACCGTTGTCACGGAGACGAAGACACACCCTCCAGGCATCATAGTCTGAGAGAGATCAGAGGATTAGAAACGGATTATCTCTCTCACACACACACACACACACACACACACACACACACCAGATCATTCACCTGCACAAAAACACGGATCTCCACTATTAACATACAATGATCTGTTCAAACTGCCATTGTTGACTGAATCACTTGAGGATCCGTGTGAACGCTGCTATCAGGATGTTAGTTCTACAAACCTGATGAAGAAACAAACTCATCCTGATCTCGGATGAACTGAGGATAAGTTAATTTTCATGAACTCCTGTTTAAACTGAACTATTGCTTTAATGCACAGCAGTATAACAGCATAATGGCCAGAATAAATCAGTCAAAAGAACGGAAAACCTGCCGATAGGCACAATAAAATACTTCTGAATATATTTCTCTCATTCTTGTGTAACTGTGTATTTTAAAATATTTTTTACTTTAAAGCATATACTTGTCATTAACTGTCAAAAGAAACACTGTCAGGTTACAGCAGCTGAAACGCCTGCTTTGCTATAAAAACACACACATTTTCACAAAAGCTTGATGTTGTAAGAGTCAAAAATGAAAATGCTCGCTGAAGCCTGATCTTCTGACTCTTTCTGCTCTCACAGCCGATGTTTTTAACCCAAACACAGAGCTGAACTCGCCCACATTCCTCAGATCATCCGTGCTCCACCTTCAGCTCAATGATCACGCCGTTTAACTGGACGAGCGACTCTAGACGTTCACCTTCTACCCAGAATTCATTCTGCATGTATCAGCCTTAATTACACTTAACACTTTCACATCAAGGGTGGAGCCGTGAAGATGAACCAGAGGCTTCACTGATGTGGATCTGAAGCTGTAGACTGGTTTGAACGGACGGTGGTTTTGGGGCGGTTCTGGTTCTGACCTTTGGTCTCTTTGATGATGATGGCGTTCAGGAGGCCTTTCCCGCGGACGCCGCTCACGATCTCCAGCGGAAGCTTGCTGAGCTCAGTGCGCAGAACCTGACCCATCAGATCCGCATTCTGAGCCAGACGCTCCTCCTCCAGAACCTGAGGAGATCCAGAGCGTGAGCAGTGTTCACACACACACACACACACACTCACACTCACACACACTCACACGCACACGCGCACTCACACACACACTCACTCACTCGCACTCACTCACTCGCACTCACACACACGCTCTCTCACACACTCACTCACACTCACTCACACTCTCTCACACACTCTCTCTCACTCTCACTCTCTCACACACTCACACTCACTCACTCACACTCACTCACTCACACTCACTCACTCACACTCACTCACTCACACTCACCCTCTCTCACACACTCACTCACACACCCTCTCTCACACTCACACACACCCTCTCTCACACACTCACTCACACTCACACACTCCACACACCCTCTCTCACACTCACACACACTCCACACACACACACACACACACACACACACACACACACACACCTCCAGAGCAGCGATGGCGACGCGGCAGGCCAGAGGGTTTCCTCCATACGTGGATCCGTGTTCTCCAGGTTTGATGGTCAGCATCACCTCATCATCACACAGAACAGCAGAGACCTGAGACACACACAGATCATCAGCAAACATGTGTGTGTGTGTTCTTCATAATCAATCAACAGTGTGTGTGTTTGAGACTCACAGGATACACTCCTCCTGACAGCGCTTTACCCAGAATCACCAGATCCGGCCTCACTGCCTCGTGGTCCACAGCCAGACGCCGCCCAGTGCGGGCCAGACCGGTCTGCACCTCGTCAGCAATGAACAGAACCTGCAGCGCGCACACACACACATATTCAAACTGGTTCAAACACAAACACACAGTCAGTGTTCGTCAGATTAACACACACGAGAACAAACGGCTGGTGTGTGTGTGTGTGTGTGTGCGCATGTTTTTGTGACATATGAGGACATAAATTTGTATAATGACAAAGGTATGACATAGGTATTACAAGGAGAAGGTGACTTATGAGGACATTACCCCATGTCCCCATTTTTCAAAACGCTTATAAATCATACAGAATGAGTTTTTTTGAGAAAGTAAAAATGCACAAAGTTTCCTGTAAGGGGTAGGTTTAGGTCTGTGTGTGTGTACTCACATTGTGTTTGGTACAAAGCTCCCGGACTTTCGTGAGGTAACCAGGATCAGGAACGACCACACCTGCTTCACCCTGGATGGGCTCCACCATGAACGCCGCCACGTTTGGATCCTGCAGTGCTTTCTGCACGACACACACACACACACACGATCAGGGGAAACTAGTTGAGCTGGTTAAGTTACAGGTTAAAAATAACACTGCAGGTTTGCTGTGCTTGTTTGTAGGACTGCACAATCTGTCCAAATATATTGTGATTATATATCAATATGACCATAAAATATTAATAGTATTATTAATATTAATATTAACAATAATATTTATTATTATTACATTATAATTATATTTTTAATATAGAACTACTGTACTAACAATGATCATTGATGACTTGATTATATTTATGATTATTACTATTACTAAATAAATTAAGAAACACTATTACTATATTTCAATTATTTTATTTTACGTTACAACAGTAAAATTACAGTGCTAATATTTAGTCTTAATTTCTTCGAATAAGGCTGGTGAAAGTTCGGTTACAGAAACTCGAGCTGCTGGAGAGTCCATGAACACAGTACCTCTAGTGCAGTGACGTCATTATATGGCACCAGCTCAAAGCCGGGCATGAACGGACCGAAACCCTCGTAGCTGCTGGGGTCCGTCGAGCTGGAAACAGCAGCCATCGTGCGACCCCAGAAATTCCCGGCTGCGGGAGACGAGCAGAAATACAGACGCTCAACATCATCTCGCATTAGAGGAAAACACCGCCAGCGCGCTTTAAGCTGACATGCATGCGTGCAACATCACATAAATATATGAACCTGTAAGGCATTTGAGTCACAGGAGACTTATGCTGTTTATCCTTCAAGAAAAATGAATCAATGATCTCAAAATATTACAAACACAAACTTTGTCTCATCATTCCTGACTGTGAGATGCTGACTTACCTGCAAACACGATCTTAGCCTCATATTTCGGGACGCCCTTGACAGTGTATGCCCACTTACGAGCCAGTTTACAGGCCGTCTCTCCGCCCTCCACACCTTCAACACAAGAGCAGGATTAGAGCCACGCCTTGCATTCATCCATCACCGCTCTGGGTCTCACAGCTGTACCTGTGTTCATGGGCAGCACTTTATCGTATCCGAACAGGCCGGTGATGTACTGCTCGTAGACACCCAGCACGTCATTGTAGAAGGCTCTGGAGGTGAGTGTCAGCCGCGAGGCCTGCGCCGTCAGCGCCGCGATGATCTTCGGGTGGCAGTGACCCTGGTTAACAGCGCTGTACGCGCTCAAGAAGTCAAAGTACCTGCGGCCCTCCACATCCCACATGTGAACCCCTGCAACACGCCACAGAAACACTGACTCACACAAACACACTCCACTACAGCGTTACAGTGTTACGGCGTTACAACGTTACAGTGTTACGACGTTACAGCGTTACAGCACTGCAGTGTTACGGCGCTCCAGTGTTACAGCGTTGCAGTGTTACAGCGTTGCAGTGTTACGGCGCTCCAGTGTTACAGCGTTGCAGTGTTACGGCGTTGCAGTGTTACGGCGCTCCAGTGTTACAGCACTGCAGTGTTACGGCGCTGCAGTGTTACGGCGCTCCAGTGTTACAGCGTTGCAGTGTTACGGCGTTGCAGTGTTACGGCGCTCCAGTGTTACAGCGTTGCAGTGTTACAGCGTTGCAGTGTTACAGCACTGCAGTGTTACAGCACTGCAGTGTTACAGCGTTGCAGTGTTACGGCGCTCCAGTGTTACAGCACTGCAGTGTTACAGCGTTGCAGTGTTACAGCACTGCAGTGTTACAGCACTGCAGTGTTACAGCGTTGCAGTGTTACGGCGCTCCAGTGTTACAGCACTGCAGTGTTACAGCGTTGCAGTGTTACAGCACTGCAGTGTTACAGCGGTGCAGTGTTACAGCGTTGCAGTGTTACGGCGCTCCAGTGTTACAGCACTGCAGTGTTACAGCGTTGCAGTGTTACGGTGCTCCAGTGTTACAGCGTTGCAGCGTTACGTGTACGCCTGCAGTGCATGTGATGTGGGGAACGCAGCCGGACACATGCAGACTTCAAAGCTTTTGCACTCATTTAGCCCACAAACCGGCGACACTGGCTCAAGCTGCTGCTTTATAACAAATCAAAAGCAAAATATGAAAAAGAAGCAAAATAGACAAAGCAATAGCAAACTACTGGAGATACAGAACATGCTGCAAATGTGAGGCAGAGATGCAGGCAGCTTCAACAACATTTTTATTGCGTATAACTTCTAAATAATGGTGGTAACGGTGACTTTTTATCTCACAAGTCTGACTCTTTTTCTTGCAACTCTTGAGTTTTTTCAGAAGCGCGAGATGTACAGTCAGAATTCTTAAAAAAAAAAAAAAGTCTTGTGAGAAATAAGTCAGAAAAGTCAGATATAAACTCTGAAATCTGACTTTATATCCCTTAATTCTGACTTTTTTCTCGTAATTCTGACTTTTTTCTCGTAATTCTGACTTTTCTCGTAATTCTGACTTCTCAGAAATGAGTTTACATCTCACAATTCTGATATTTCTCTGAATTCTGAGAACAAGTCAGAATCGTGAGAAAAAGTCAGCTTTGTGAGACATAAACTTGCAATTATGAGTTTATAACTTGCAACTGCGAGACAAACTCATAATTCTGAGAAAAGAACTCAGTATGAGTACAGTATGAGCTGGACTGTGGATGAGGAACACTCCCAGAATGCTGTGCGCAGGCCTACCCTCTCCTCGCTCCAGAGCCACGGGCAGCGGGTGGTAGTTATGAGCGCCGTATCGATCCTCGCGAGTGTAAACCTCCTCTGACGTCAGCGCACGCTCTGCAGGCTCGGCTCTGGACGCCGTCGAGGAGGATGTGCGTGTCCCAGAATGCACTGCACGGCTCAGGGCGGGCATCACGCCTCTCATCAGACTCTTCATGCTGTTCATGGCTGTTCACACTGAGACACAATCATTCAGTCACACGCTTCACTCGCATCTTTAGTTCAATTATTGAAATTTTTTTTTTATCTTAATATAGGTTTATAGTGGCTTATTTTGCTGTCAGGAGGACATAGAGTATAAAAACATTGTAATGTCAAATATAAATTCACTATAAAAATGATGGTAATAGATCAATTTATAAACAATTTTAGTTAATTTAAGTCATTTTTTAAGTTAAATTTAAAATGTAATCACGTAATAATAATAAAAATGGCCTTTTTTGGCAAGTTGTGTGATATTCCTTAAAAAAATGATTTAATAAAATGTATTATTATTGTTATTATAACTTAAGAACTGTGCAATATATTTCTGTCATAATTTGTTCAAGTTAGACCGACATTGTATTATTAGATGAATAAATATAACTGTAGGATTTCATAAAAGAAATAAAATTGACTAAAACATTTACAAAATGAATTAACTTTCTTGATTCATGTTTCTGATGTTTTATGAATAATTCATCAGTGACGTCACTCTATTAGTTATCAACCATGTTCACATGGAGACACTTTTTACCATCTAATTTAATTCCTTATGAGGAAAATCAAGGCCTGCCCTATTTATTCACTTTTAATATTCTGTTTCCAATATTACAGAAGTAAAATGATTGTGAATCAGCAATGGTGAAAAATGTATTTTCTTGACGATGGCTGTATAACTGCATAACTATATAAGAATAAATATATAAAGCTGTATACAAGAATCACACAAGTGACATTAAACAAGGGTGTTTTCTCATAAACATCCCATAATGATCAGAACAGGACGATCTGCATTCGTTTTTCAGTCAAACCTTCAGTCTGAGAAAGAGTTTATTTGGAAAACATCAGTGAAAATCAAATCTTCATATTTCATATATTTGCATGCGAGCTCTCGTTGTACAGCTCTAGGTTTTAACTTCTGGTTTGAGGCACAAAAAAATTTAAATTTAAATTATATAGCAGCCATATTAAAATATGAAATGATAATAATATGAAACCTCATATAACACAGATGAAGTGAGCTGTGCTGGAGTCAGTGAGACGGACACGTGGCTCTGGATCATCAGTGCATGAAAGAAACTGATGAACAGACAGAAACCAGCAGTTTCTCATTCAGACGCTCACAATGAGCTCAACCTGTCTCACTCATCATAATCATAATCATGATCCTGACAGATCACAGAGACCTGCTGATATCAGATCAGCACATTTCATCAGTCTCTCACTGCCATCAATTATTAAACCGATTCCTTAGGAAACTTTCCACTAAGAGTCACTTATTTATACAGTCACGTGACATGTCAAATACAGCCTGCGGCGGTGATTGGCTGAAAACTCACTGCCCTCGACACGCCCACTGCATGCGCTGCCAAGGGTTAAATAAAGACTCTCTCTCTCACACACACACACACACACACTAACACACACACTCACATCCAAACTAACATACACACACACACACACATCAAAATAACATATACACACACACACACACACACACACCCAAACTAACAT